AGTATTTATTGCAGAGCTACTAAGGTCAAAACTGACTTGACTTGGCTTGTTGCAGAATATTTATGCTGTGTCATACCAACTATTTTCTGTATCACATGCCAGGATAATACAATCACTTGGAAAGCAATCAAGGCAGTCAGTCTCTTTTGAAATTTGAAATTAATGGATTTTGTCTTCTTAAATAGCCTTAACTACAAAGTCTGTTTTGCAAAACAACACATACCCCTTCTGCTCTCTCCCAAGAATTTAGACTTTTAATTATTTGAGTCATTCCAGAAATTAAAGTCTAGCTTTTCTGAAACCCTTTAAAAACAGCCAATGTATGCTACACCCCAATCATCATATGAGAATTTTTCTATGGCAACAATTTCTTACAATTTGTCAACAAGAAGTTCTTTTACAATGAGATATGCATAGTGACCCGAATTTCTTATGATTCTGAAACTTGTCTTTTGCCTGTTAATGTGTTTTGGCTCAGCTGATGAAAATATCACAGCCAAGTTTGCAGTTGAATCATATCAGTGGGTTCTTTGGAGGCAGTGGTGTTGTCTTGGGTTGCAATGCAAGATGTAACCAAATGTATTCTATTACCATCTCTTAAAACCAGGTGGGGCAGCTTCTTTACCTCTTCTTTGACCCATCCCTCATAACTCCAGGGAGATCTATTCTGTTAATGGGCCAGCTGTTAAAACCAGCTGTGGCAGTGTTCTTTTCTCTTCCACAACCCATCCTCCCTCCAGGGGAATATCTTCTGTTAATGGGCCATCGAGTCTCACTGCACGACTGATAAAATTACATCATCCCATTGTGAGATGCTCCACCCAGGGGGAGGAGTCAAGCATTCCTACCTGGATATAATCAGAGACTTGGAACACTGCAGTCAGCCTTTCTCCACTAAATTCTCAGAAGAAAGACTAGATCCATCTACACCACTAGCCCTTCAGAAAAAAACCTACACCCTTCTATGGAATCATTGCTACAACAGGACATCTGTCACTCCAGGAGGACTACAGCCACCATTAAATTGGACTGCTACCAACACTGACAAAAGGGTGTCAGGTTGTATTCTGACTGTCAGTAGTTTGTTTCTTGGTTGTTTTTTGGTTTTTTTTTTGTACTACTGCATTTTTATTTTAATTTTCTGGTAAAGAACTGTTATTCCTGTTCCCATATCTTTGCCTGAGAACCCCTTGATTTCAATATTATAATAATTCAGAGTGGGTTGTAGGTTAGGGGTTTACAGTTTTCCATTTCAAGAGAGGTTTTGGCCTTCCTTAGCAGGCACCTGTCTTTTCAAAGCAAGACAGGTGTGAACAGAGCACTGCTGAATGCCATTAAAACTTGACTGGCCTGGGGACTGCTGGAAACTTGTACCAGACATGGTCCATCACAGCAGCTTCAGGGCTGCTATGGCTTAGGCTGGTGCTAATTGCCTCTTCACAGCCTCAGGAGATACATACAGACATTTTTGCTGCCTCCTGCTGTCTCAGGCCTTGGTCACAACACACCTGGGACCACCCTAAGGATAAGAACCTGCATACACCAGTAAGCCTTTACCTGCAAAATATTAAGAAACTCAGTTAAATGGGTAATTGGTTTGAACCACAAGCCAATGGAATGTATGAAATGGACCATGTCTCCAGAGCATTTACATGGCTTCTAAAATGGATTTTTACTGTAGGTAAGTCACTACACAGTAATATTTCATCTGAATAAGATCGGACTTGAAAAGGATCATGTATTTTTTTGCCTTTGCTATTTCTAGCCAAATGTACTACTCTTGCACTTCTACAGCATCTGCTGTTTGAATATATCAGTCAAGTAAGTCTCAGAATACACGGGTAAATATTAATCCATTAATGAATGCAAAGCCAAGGCACAAAGAAGTGATTTATATAATTATAAATACTAATGAGTATGTACTTCAAGATGATTACGCTCCATGCACTTATGAACTCTTTTGATGGCATAAACTCTTAAGAAATGAAGTGAGTTGTGTTTCCCTTACTCTTTTTTTTTTTTTTAGAAATGAACTTGAATATTCAATTATGGGTTTATTATTCTGTGAATCAGTTTAGAGTGATCAGTGGATATAATTTTTTAGTATGAAAATGTTATTTGTGCATATTACAGTTCCAGGCATATATTATAGTTTTATGAAAACATTTCAATCTTCCAGACTTTATGCAAAAGATTGGCCTGTGGGCTCTGCACAAGATGTAAATGAAGTTCTTGTTTAGCTAATCTGATTACCCTGTAGGATACCAATCTTGCTTAGTGACAGTGGAAGCTAAAATTTGCAAGCAGGACAGTCCACTTGAAATTGGGCCAGGAAAGGTCAGTTTCTAAATAGTGAATCTGAAGTTTGAACTAGATTTTAATATTATCCCTAAGAATGTTCAGTTAAACATAGAAGCTGTCTCCTCCATAGCTGCTATCATTGCTTTTAAACATCATGATGACATTGAGAAAAGCTCTTTTTTAAGAAGTACAGATCTTTATTAATTATATGTAAAGATGCTGCAATCACTTTAACCCAGCATTTAGTTAGCCCGTGGCTTAATTGTCATTTGACACTTCTCTTAGTCCTCTCATTCTATCAAAATTAATGGTCCGATAGAGAAATTCAGTGAATAGCAAAACCCCAAACAGATTATCAAAACAAAACCACCCCAAGTCAATACAAACTAAAACTATTTGAATACTACCAAAATAATGTTGCTTTATTATGGACTTACTGAGTGTATGAGAAAGACTAAAAAGGCATATGCTGAGACTACTGAATATGAAATACTGCTGTTCCTTCTGACAGGATTAGCTAAATACTTAAATGATAAGAACATTTCCCTGTATTTTTCCTATACTCAGAAAAATCACTCTTTGATCTATTTCACTAGCTTCAGTTACTGTAGTAGGCTTTTATATATATAAAAATTTTATTTTTAGTAGTCTTTGGCATCTCCTTGGTTTTCCTTTGATCTATAAAGGTTTTATGATCAATAATATCTAAAAGCAGCTGGTGTTATTGCAATTGCTCTGAGTCAAAGAAAAAACCTAACAAAAGTAATGCAACACTGGTGAAAATTATACAGCTTTTGGTTGATCAGAAAATGCAATTATCTCAGTAAATGCATTTGGTTTTCAGTAATGAGATTCAAAATTTCAGACAGATTATTTTTAATAACATCTTTTCATGGTGGTTCTATTAGATACTTTAAACCAGACCTCAACACTTACCTAATAGATAAATACCTCATTCCCTCAGTAGGTTTTAGATTAAGGGACTCAGCACTCCACACAGAATCCTAATGAATTTGAAGGGGGAAAAGGATAAAACCATGCCTGGAGATAGCCTGGGGGCAACACACCAGTGTCTGAGGAATGGTGGGCTGGGGAGGTCCTTTCATCTGCTGTCTCTGTGGAGAGGGGGATGGAGATCCATGTGGTAGCAGTGACACGAGGGATATTGATGTGCTGGAAACTACAGAAGTGCCTGAGAATGATCACATAGAAGCTCCTCCTTGACTGCCCTGATCTCCTGTGCCAAGATGACCTGCACAGAGGATGAGGGAAAGGCTATGGATGCTGCCTCCTAGACTTCAGTAAAACTTTGACAGTGTTTTCCACAGTGTTCTCCTGGAGAAACTGGCTGCTCATGGCTTGGATGGGTGCACTCTTCACTGTTAAAAACCATCTGGATGGCTGAGCCCAGAGTGCTGGTTGAATGGTGCTGCATCCATTTAGCATCCAGTCACAAGTAGTGTTCCCTAGGGAGCAGTGTTGGGGCCAGTTCTGTTTAATACCTTTATCAACAACCAGGATGAGGGGATCAAGGTGCAGAAGACACCAAACTGGGCAGGAATGTGATCTGCTGGAGGGCAGGAGGGCTCTGGATAGGCTGGATTGATGGGCCAAGGCCAGTGGTGTGAGTGTCAACAAGGACCAGCAGAGGTCCTGTCAACAGTGTCTGAGCATGAGGCAAGAGCATAACCAGGTGGCCAAAGCCAGTGGCATCCTGGCCTGTATCAGGAATAGTGTGGCCAGCAGGCCCAGACCATTCTCCTGTACTCAACGCTGGTGAGGCCACACCTCAGGTGCTGTGTTCAGTTCTAGGCCACCGAATTCAGGAATGACAGATGCTGGAGCATTACTGCCCTCTACAACTACCCCAGAGGCAGATGTAGAGAGGTGAGAGTTGGTCTCTTCTGCCAAATCACAAGCAATAGGATGAGAGGAAACAGCTGCAAGTTGCACCAGGGTAAGTTTAGATGAGATACTAGGAAAAATTTCTTCACCAGAAGGGTTGTCAGGCAGCTGAACAGGCTGCTCAGGGAGGTGGTTGAGTCACTGTCCCTGGAGGTATTTAAAAGACAAAGCAGCTCACAGCTTAATCCTAGAATGATCCATCGTATGCTGATACTGTTTTTGGGTGACCAACACTAAAATTACATGTTCAGAAAACAGTTTTAACTGTGAATTTACAGAAGCACAGTCCAAACCTTCCATTTGAATTCCCACAGCTCCCCCATGCCAAACAACACTTATCTGCATGATGAGGCACATTAACTCATCTGACATTGAACAGTTTTTTCCTTGGATTAGTTCGAGTAGTGAATCAATTTCCTCATCTGGTTCAGCAGGCAGACACAAAAATGTCTCTGTTAATGTAAGTGAGCAGCTCAGAATATGAAAATGCTTTTGATTGACCTCTACCCATTTAAAGCATATGTGAAACTACCTTAGGGATGTTATACACAGGCTGTCAGATCATATGACCACTAACCACCAGTCCACTGGGGCTCAGATCTCTCCCTTTCTGGGATATTTTCTTGTATTATCCAATTATTGTTTTACATCAGAACTACCTATTAAAGTGTGCATTCACATTGTGATCAAAGCTTATGTACTGTAAGAGATGATTTATTGGAAAGCCCTGAAGAATTATATTACATACCCACAGTAGTCTATTTCAAAGATTTATTTTCCTAAACATGGCATTCTGTAAATTTTTAATAAATATATACCCTTTACAGTACTGATGCAGTGTAACATTCACAAATATTTTCCAAGTGTTGGCTATTATCTCAACAAACACCATTAATGACCACTTTCATTTACTAATAACAATTAAAATCACAATTCAGTAGGCACTTTAGCCCAAATAATATAATAGTTGTATGAAACCCTGATCTGCTACTGTATCAGTAATATTTATTTAATTTTGCAAAGAAATTATTATAGTTGATGTGGACAAAGCTCTTTTTGCTCCAGTTGAAAAAGTCTGTGAATAAATCATGTCATGTTTAGATATAAAAAATAGGTCAATGGCTACTGAGATGATGTTTCCAAAAGCAGAACCTTCCCTCTAGGACAGCTTTAGGAAAGCACTTCATCTGACAGCACACATTCTTTTTAACAGAATCCTCTTAGTAGGTACTGGATAAAAAAGAAAACCAAACAAAACCATTTAACTGTATAAATGGACAGAGAAGATAGTGAGGCATGAGACTTCTTTTAAATTAAAAATACATGGCATAACATTTTAGGACTTCACTTGAACCAAGCTCCTTCCAATTGATGTTACCTACCCAGAGGCCACAAAAACTACCCTCGGGCAAGTTGTTATCAGTGCCTTGGAGAAACTGATGAGAACTGCACATTTTTTTGGAAGAAATGAACCAGGAGAAAACAGTGCATACTTCTTGTAATGTTGTTTTCCATACAGGAGTTACCAGTTTTGTCTTCTACCAAGATAATGATGGGCAGCACATTTGTTAAATAGCTCAGCAACTAAAATATTTACCAATCATGGATCAGAGGAGCTCTTGTCCAAGGAAGGCACATTTCTCTTGATTAAAATAAAAAATCAAAGAAGATTCTAAGGCATTAGACCTCATATGAAATAATGATCTTAAATTTTTATTAAAAATAGCAAATAATCACACTGCAGAGGATTATTCTAAATTGATTGTCTATATACTCACAAATCAAATTTGTTCCTTCATCCATTTTGTATTACTTATGGATAGCTACTGCCCCAGACAGGCAACTGCTGCAAAATGAGGCATTTTTGTCTTTATATACTAACATAGTGGAGACACCATTCTGAGACCAGAGTTCAGGTACACCACACTGAATCTCATATTATTTAGCAGCTATAACTCTACAGTAAAAAAAAGACCATAATTACCCATTCCATCTGACATGAACAAGGAACAGTTTTTAAAAGTTTTCTTGGTTGTGTTTTGGTGGAGAAATATTTTAGAGATTCTTGGAATAAAGTGTAAAGGAAATCTACACACTGATTATAAATTAAGACTAGTGTTGACTTTTATTTACATAGTTTTACAAACAAATTCAAGTAATTATTGCATCAACCATTCAGATTTTGAACATTACTATAAACCACAAGTTTATAGCACATATAGTACATATAGCATATAGTGCATTCTTCATGGAGCTGTGATTATTGTTCTACGTTTTTCTTTCTCCGACGAAGCCACCTCAGAGCTCTCACCAGTGCTACTTGTCCCATGAGGAATGTGATCCTAAAGTTACGTTTATACCAATCTCTAGGATTCCAAAGCCAAGAAAATCATCAGCACACAGAACAGGAAAAAGATACACAATTATATTAAAAATATAAAAATTGCATAAAAATATCCTTTGGCATTGACAAATGATATTTCAGTGATGACCTGCATTTTCTTTTCTTTGTGGTAACACCTTTCCTCCTTAATAAAAGAGTTAAATAACCTATCAAGAAGACTGTGTATATCAACATTCATGAAGAGACTGCATGTGGATTACAGGGTTGCAACTGTATTTAAAATCAGGCAAGATAAAACAGTTAAAACTATGTCTCATGTTTCAGAAGTAAAGTTGATCACCATGCTATCTGGACTAACTTCCTGCCAGTGCTGTGCTTCAGGTAAGATTTGTTTGTGTGTGGATGAAAATGCCTGTGTTGAAAAGGGCAAAGTTGGTCTCATACAAGGGTAGGAAGAAATAAAATCAAATCACAGTTCAAAGGCTAACTGAATAATCCAGTACGTGAAACATTATCTTTCTACTGCAATATATTTTAAAGACAATGCTGTTAATATTGTCAAAGTTAGTTTTTGTATCTTTAAATGACTTAGTTTTTATGAATCATGCATGGCTTCTGGAACCAATTCAAATTATTCACAGTATAATCTGCATCAGCCCTTTTTGACCTCTGAGAACTTGCTTCAAGTTCTTGCCCCAGTTTTAAATTAAAATAGTATCAAAATTTTTTTCTAGTTTCTAACAAGGATCTTGCTCCATGTTGTAAAATGCTTACAAGAAGCAATAGGATATGCAGAATTCTAGAACTAGAACACTGGGATTTAGGTCTTCCCTTGACATGTCTGGGGCAAACCTTGCATGCACAAATCTAACATAAGCCTGAGATACCAACCTCTCAGTGAGGACAGCCGCCAAATTCACACCGACAGGCAGCACTGAGCTACCCCTTCAAATGTCATGTTAAATAAAAATATCATGCTAACATTGCAATTGTTTCTTTTCTCCTTTCACAATTCATTTCCTCTATTCTTCTTGAATTTTTTTCCAAAACTAAATTGTATTTCCAGTCTAAGTACCCTGAACTAAATATTCAAGGCATCTATGCGCAGTCATTGCTTCAATTTTAACTACATTTTGGAATTTGCAACACTTCAGCTGCCAGTTTTCAGGCCAGCTGGCAATACTGCAAAAGAACATACAGCTAAATGCATTAACAGATTTTTATAAACATGACCCCTCAAAATCAGAGTGCCTGTAAAAAGCTCTGCTGTTTTCAGAGCTGTGCAGTTCCACTTTGAAACTACAACAATGCAGCTGACACAACCTGATTTTACAAGTCAGCAGCAAGGAAGGTCATGTTTAAGCACAAAGCCTGAATTATCTTACCCTGAAGATGGCACACTATCCTAAGGTCACTGCAACAATGGCAACTGGCAACCAGTTCTAAGATGAACTATTTGCATTCCCACTTATGAATTATAAGCAATGTATTAACAATCCTTTCACTAAAAAAAATTCTTACTTTGTATCTTTTCATGCTATTGCTTTGCATTATGGTGAGGTTCCCCCCTGCTCCTCTGTGGGAAAGATAAGATGTGCATATTTAAATATTTGTTAGTTAAATTAGGATAGTATTTTATGGTTTATGCACAATACACAAAGAAACTTAAGCCACCATTTGTTATAGATCAGTTACAGTGATGGCAGAATTCTCACTAACATCATGCCATTAAGAACACAAGTCACACTTCTGAGCCAAATAATCTCCCAGTCCAGTACAAAGAGGAAACTGCAGTTATACTTTCACATTCAGTGGTCAGAATTCCCTGATTAAGTGCTGTCTTTCTCCACCTTCCCATTCCTCCCTCATTTCTAGCTCTTTTTAAAGTGTGCACAGCTACTTGCAGAGGTATGTGTGTTTGCAAGTAATTTTTTACTCCTTTCGGATCCCAAATCCAGTTTATCGAGTTGTTGTACACACAGAAACACTGAAACAATGCAGGAGGTGCTGTGAAGAGCTGGTTGTGGGTTTACCAAACTGTAAATGAGGTTCTACCCAGGACTAGTCAGGTGATAAATTTATGCCTCACCAAACTCAAAAGCTGATCACTTTTTTACTAGACACTTGCAAAATAATAGACCAAATATTACTCCCAGTAATGATTTTCCTTTGAGATAAATCACTTGTCCTTATTTAACAGTCAGCTAGAATCTGTTATACAGAACTTTCAAGTGGTCTATTTGCATATTTATCAGTTTCAATTAGCAGCATGAAAAGACCTGTGCCCTAAGATAATAAAATGTGCCTGATCTTGTCTCTTTAAATCTCAGACTTGAGCTTATCTTTCCACTGAAACAATAAGCAGCAGCAGAACTCAAATGATAATGCAAATTTCTATCAAATGCTAATAACAGCATTAAAAATAATTTTCCAAAATTACAGGGGCTTGTGCTGTTTTACCAATTACAGAAAAAATGTTCAAATTTTAAACTTGATCTTATACCTTTCACTTAGACTGTAATGTATAATGATCAACTTAAATACCTTCTACATACCTGTTATACTGCAAATGCTTTTTAAAATTTTTAGTTAGAAAGTCCTTGTAAAAGTCAGCCATTTCTTCTGCATTCAGTGTTGCTTTTTGACCTGAAAATAGGTTTTGGTGTAACAAAGTCAAAGCAATTCTTTGGATCAAAACACTAGGTTCATATGCTAGGTCTAACTCCCTGCTCCTACAAGCTTTCTGTGTAACCCTGAACAAATGAATATGCTTTTATCTTTTAAAACTTATCCAGAAAGCACAGCAGATTAAAATACCAATCATCTTGAAGCTGGCATAGTTCTTAAACCCCTACTACTTGTGGAAGGGATAAAGTTTATCAGCTCTTAGACTATTTAGGGAACCAGTGAACCCCGATGAAAATGTGCATGGATCTAGGAGTATCTATCTTTTGAATAAAATAATTTCTTATGGGGCTGAAGCCTAAACAGTACCAATAAGAACATTTAGTAACTTAATTTCAACCCCTAAAGCAAGCCCATACATATCAAAAGAACACTATCCACAACTGTAATGGTATTTTCAGATGTAATCTTTTTCTATTACTGTTGATAAATTTCAAGTACCTTCAGGCAAAAAGTTTATGTTCTGAGATGTCAGACTTCTGAACAATCTAATAGGCACTTATTTTGAGAAGAAGCAAATATAAAAAGTTATTTTGAATATGTCAGTCATAACCAGAATATAAAGGGAAGAACAGGAAGACTTGTGGGTATAGCACACATGTCTGATCCTGAGAACCAGCAAATATTCTCAACTCTACCAGACAATTCCTACCAAAACCTTCTGGCACAACATGTCCCTAAAATGACAGTCAAATTTCAGTGCCCCAGGGAACATGGATATGATGAGGGAGATGGAATAGCAATATTCAACTTGTTCCTGTTCCAAAATGCATTTTAAGGCTCTTGAGATTGATCACAGAAATGTGAATTATTGATTTGCTTTATTTTTCATTATTTAAAAAACTAATGGACCACAGTGTATTAACATACTATGGGATAAATTAACTCTAAAACCATTTGAAGGCTGCCACCTTAATACCTGTAGTTAATTTGTTTCTTCATACTGGTATCAGCAAAACTGATTCATTACACAGAAAAGTAAGTTTCATTCCAACTGTTCATGTATATTTTTATTTTTACAAACACTCACAGCTGTATTATAGAACAGCTGACCAAAGGCATGCAGTCAATACAAATTTGTTTTTAATGGAAGTATGTGGTCACTCTCTTTTAGTTCTAGAATATAAAGTAAAACAAAAACCCCCACAAAATAGCAATATAAAGTAAATGTTTTTGAAACAATGTAGATCTTAATTAGAATTACTTCTCTAGCATTGATCACCAGGATACAAAGAAATAAGAAAAATAATGGTCTGTGACATACAGAATGTCAGAGCAGATGCTTCACTAAACTCAAACAGATCATTATTCTGTGAACAAAGTGTTCAACCTCATACTACAATGCCCAATTCACTTTTATTATGAAGGCATTTTGTTTTCATTTTCACACAATGAATTAGAGAGACAACTATTTTACAGCAACTGCGCTCAGGCAGAGACAGGCAGATAGCAGCTGCCGTCTCCCCAGAAGCTGCCTTACTCTCCCCAAGGAAAAATATTGTATTCATTGCACACACTATGGACCTGAAGCCAAAGACTGAATTTATCCACTCAACCATAACATGCACTTGAGGCAAAAGCTCTGTATGTTTATCTTAGCCAGCTCACTGGCTTAGGAGGTGTGAAAGTAAGAAGTCCCTTCCTCCTTAGGCTACAGAATTATTATATTACTGGGCTAGGATTTCAGCACATTCCCGCTAGCTGTGGGGAAGGAATTAGGGGGAGAACAGTGCAAGAGATTATCTGACCCCCACATGCACATCTCTGAAAAGCCCCCCATCTCTTTTTTTTATCACACTGCTGAAAACACTTCTAAATCCTACCCCTAAGACTTGTGATAGAACACAAAGAACATAAACAAACAAAATTCAAAATTAAACAGAGTTCAGAATGCATCCTGAACTATTAAAGAAGATCTCACTAACCTGATTCATCTCTCATTTCCAGACCCTTGGCTTTCAGTCTTGAATAAATAAATTCTTCTTTTTCCTAAAACATGTTTTTCCACATTAGAATGGGATGTAGTCAGTCCTTGAAGTTAGCCATTGTTTTTAATTACATAGCAATGTGGTGTTCAACACCCTTTGAAATAACTAGCAATACTCGTTCTACTTGGAAGTGTCAACTAAACACTTTTCTTAATCCAGTGAGTTAGTTAAACTGGTCTCTTAGATCCTGTACCTGCATGCATCAATTAATTCATGCAAGTGTCCTACTGATACTTATAAAACTGATCTGTACAGTAAAGCTACAGCCAAACTTCAATGTTGTTTGACAGGATTCAAACTTTCAGTTTATAAAACAAACTATGGAAATGCATTGTACTGTATAACTGAGATTTTGAGCATAGAGAAAAACATGCAGCCTAAAAAAATTTCAATTATTTAGACAGAAGCACAATAATCATCTGTGTGTGAGTTTTACAGACTTAAAAAACAGTTCTGTGGAATTAAAAAAAAAAAAAGCTTCATTTTTTTATGGGATCTTTGCAAGTTTTGAGAGGATATGATGTTCAACACCATAAACGATGGTGAATTACTGAACTGCTACATTTCTTCCAAAAAATGCCACATTGGCTGGGAGGTGCTAAAATCAAGAAAGACAGACTCATTTTAGCTGGGATACTCTGCCAGTGAAATGGGAGGTATCATTTAACTTCATTTAGTCTTGGCAATTAGACCAAACTTCTCTCACTTATGACAAGAGAAAAACCAGCCATGAAATAATTTTCAACAGCTGCTCTAGTCACAGCCAGGTCTTGCAGGCAGGGTAGCTACAACCTTATACTTTCAGTGCAAGACAGGAAAAAGGCAAATACTCTATGCCACTAGGCGGCAATAAAACGTGTAGGATTTTTAGTTTTGTGCATCATTTAAAGAAACGAACGATAAAACCGTAATTTCCTCCATGACCCTGAGCGCATTAGCAGCGAGCAGAACTGAGCCCCAGCTCAGAGAGGCGAAGCGCCCCATTTTCGGGCAGGCTGAGCAGCAGCAGCAGCGGGTGCAGGGCCGGGCTCACCTGGCGGAAGGCGCGGTTGTGCCGTGCCCAGAAGCGCTGGTTGCTGGCCTGGGCTTCCTGGCGCGCCTCCCGCAGCCGCCGCTCCAGCGCCGACTCCTCGGGGGACACGTAGAAGATGATGGGGCGCAGGTTGGAGTGCTTGTCCGGGGGCCCGATCCAGTCACTGTGCGAGTGCGCCGGGGGACGGAAACCCAGACCCTACGAAACACAGACACAAAGCGTCTTCAGCCCTGCTGCACTTCTGAAGAACGTCTCAATCTCGAATAAATTCCTACGTGCCACGGAACCTTAAAGCGTGCAAACATAGCAAGTTCAGAATTAAAGTATATTTATTTACGGCGACCAAAAACAATGGCGTACATTTACAATTTACTTTTAATTACAAATGCACTACAGAGAAGATACCTTCAACTCTTTTACCATGGGCATGAATCATGAGGTATTTTTTTTAATCAAAATATTTTTTTTTGTTTTCATCTTTCTATCAGTGATACTCTGTTAAAATATTTCATGGAGAGAACTATCAAGTATGCAAGTTTTTTATGGCGCTGATCTCTGCCCTCTGGTGACCAGTGACAACACCCGAGGGAACAGGATGAAGCTGTGCCAGGGGAAGTTTAGGCTGGATATTAAAGGCTCTTCACCCAGAGGGCGATGGTCACTGGAACAGACTCCCCAGGGATGGGGTCACGGCCCCAAGCATGACAAGCTCGAGGAGCTTTTGGACAACTCTCAGACACACGGTGCGATTCTTAGGGCTGTTCTGTACAGGGCCAGGAATCGGATTTCGGTGATCCTTCTGGGTCCCTTGAAACTAAGCGTATTTTATAATTCTACTCATATAGAAAAATTCCGCGTATCACTACAATTCAAACTTTTCCTCAGCCCGGCGTTCTTGCTGCATCCCTGTGCCCACACGCAGCGTGTGGCTGCCCCAGGCGGGTCCGGGGACACCTGGCGTTACCCAACAGCCCGGACCTCAGCGCCCCTCCAACAACAAACACCGGGGGCCTCGATAAACACGTCAAAAAACAGAGGCCGCGGGGAACGCGGTTTTCTACCGCCGGCGTTACCGGGGGTGTAGACGGAGCACTCCCCACTCCGGGCTCCGCGGGGGCGGCGGCCCCCAAGGCTTCCCCCGCGGCCCCCACAGGAGCTGCCGCCCCCCGCCCGGGTTTACCGCGTTGTCCGGCTGCTCCCCGGGTTCAGCCGCACGGCCGCCACCGGAGGAGGCGGAGGAGGAGAAGGAGGCGGAGGAGAGGAGGAGGGGGCGGCGGCAGCCACCGGGCCGCAGCACCCGGGCGGTCGCCATGGCCCGGCGCTTTACGACGCTGCCGCGCGGGCACTGCGGGCGGGGCGGGGCCAGGTCGGGGCCGGGCCCGGGCCCGCCTCGGCCTCCGCCTCCCTCCGCGCGGCCGAGCCGGGCGGGGCTCGCGGGGTTCGCGGCGCTCGGCCCGTGGCGCAGCCGGGCCGGGCAGCGGGTTCTCGCCGGGCGGCGGGTGAGTGAGTGACTGAGGCGGGTCGGGGGTGCCGCGCGGGTTCGCTGCGGGGCCGGTGGGGACGAGCCTCCCGCAGGTGCATCGGCGGCGGCCCGGTGTCATTTCCTCTTCGCGCTGCGCCGGGCCCCACCGCGGGGGAGGCCGGAGGTTGCGGCCATGGAGGGGCTGGGGGCGGCAAGTGCTGAGGGGGAGAAAGGTATGTGCAGGGGAAGGAGCGCTGCCCCGGGCTTGTATCTCCCGGGGGCGGTCGGGTTCGGCCGCTGTTCTTCCCCCCCCCTCCGGGTTCTCCTTTGGGCTGCGGGTGCTTCAGAGTTCTGCGGCGGCTTCAGCTGCAGAGCAGGTGGGGAAGGCAGGGCGGAATGCTGGGGGTGAACAGCCGAGAGCTGGGCGTGTGGCAACTAAAGCATCGTCCCTGCGGCCCGACCGGGAGAAAGGTGTAAAAAATTAAAGGGCTTCGAAATATCAGCCAAGTGGTTTATTCTTATTGGTGAAGATACTTAAAATAACTGTAATGCGGAAGTGCTTCAGAATGTAGAAGTTGTAACGTGTGCATGTGTAGCACTTAAGCAAGTCTTGTTTTCATTTTCCTTGTAGTTCATCTGGAGCTGGACCAGGGAAAAGGAATGGCTATGGGTAACCAACACCCATCCATAAAACGGTTACATGAAATACAGAAAGAAGTCAAAGAGATTGAACAGCAAGTGGCTGTCTTCAGCGGCCTGTCTACCGACCGAGATTATAAGAAATTGGAAAGAAGCCTTACAAAACAGCTTTTTGAAATCGATTCTGTAGACACTGAAGGGAAGGGGGATATTCAGCAAGCCAGAAAGCGAGCTGCCCAGGAAACTGAGAGGCTGCTGAAGGAACTGGAACAAAATGCAAACCATCCGCGCAGACTGGAAATAGAGGCTTTATTCAAGGAGGCACAGTCACTAGTGGAACGCGAGATCACACCTTTTTACAAAGGAGGAAACTGTATAAGTGATGAATTTGAAGAAGGCATTCAGGACATTGTATTGAGGCTCACCCAGGTGAAAACTGGAGGGAAAGTTTCTCTGCGCAAAGCAAGATACCGAACTCTGACAAAGGTATGTGCTGTTCAGGAGATTATAGAGAGTGGTGTAAAGCAACAGCTGTCCCTGCCACTCTCTAATGATGCACATCCTTCTGTCTCCAAAATTAACTCTGTAATGTGTGATGTGAACAAAGCCAGAGGAACTCTCATTGCGCTTCTAATGGGAGTGAGTAGTAATGATACCTGCAGGCATCTGTCCTGTGTGCTCACAGGCCTCATTGCTGATTTGGATGCTTTAGATGTCTGCGGTCGCACGGAAATAAGAAATTACAGAAAGGAAGTAGTAGAAGAGATCAATAAATTGCAGAAATACCTGGACTTGGATGAAGAAGCAAATTCTACTCATGCTTATGATTTGGCACAAAATCAGTCTATTCTAAAAATAGAAGAGATCCGTAAGAAGATGAAGGAAGTTAATTCCTTACTTTTAAAAACAGAAAATGCATCTGATTTGTATCTGGGATCCAAAGCAGAGTTGCAGGGACTAATTGCCCACCTAGATGAAGTGAGTCCCGGAAAAAATCCCTGTATTAGAGAGGCCAGGAGAAGAGCAGTAATTGAAGTTCAGACTCTTATAACATATATTGATTTGAAAGAAGCGCTGGAAAAAAGGCAAATGTATCCAGAGCAAACTGCTGCTGAACATCAGTCTCATAAAGCAGTTTGGACTGTACTTGGAAACTTGTCTCAAATTCAGCAAGAGGTGATTTCATTTGATGGAAACAGAACAGATAAAAATTACATGAGACTGGAAGAACTTCTTACAAAACAACTTCTGGCCCTGGATGCTGTTGATCCGCAAGGTGATGAGCGGTGTAAGGCTGCCAGGAAGCAGGCAGTAAAGCTTGCACAGAATATTCTTTACTATCTGGACATGAAAACAGATGAATGGGAATACTGAAACAGCCATGGCCTGACACAGAAGAACATTTTTCCCTCTGGCACTTTATGAAGATCATTGGCAGCACATAATAAAGTGTTCTGTGCTTGCTGAAATCATGGAGATTGCATAAGCAGTTGACTTGGCTATATGTCTGCTATCCCACGCAGTCACCCACTTGCCATGGCAACTGTCAGTACACCATCAGCAATTCTGGTCACTGCTATAAGCAGAGAAGTGCAGTTCCCTGAAGGAATAGCTTAATACTTGATCAAGTAGCTTATTTTTTATTTTTTTTTTTCCTTTCTTGTTTTAGTTTCAATAGCCTTGTGCAATGTTCAGTGAATGCAGGTTTTTCAAAGACACAGAAACTTATGGTACAGTACTGGCAAAACTGTTTAAGGAGACTGGACATGAAAGTTAGTATTCAGGCATGAGGCTCCATCCAGCAACTTCACAGCAGTCTGGATGTACTGTTAATGTGCTGTTATGAGATAAAGTACTATGGGCAAAAAGCCTACTGGCTTTTGGACTGTACTTGATTTATTCCATCCATCATACCATCTAGATTTCTTAGTTAATGGAGCTATAATGCCAGCTGCAAATTAGGATTTATATAGGCAATGCCAATTATGTCAATTTTTGTAATACCTGAGCCCTTTGATTTGCAAAACCAGGTCTTTTGTTGGTGGAAATTATTTCAAGTTACTGCTTTAGCGTACTGAGACTTGGAGAGGAAAATCTGTACATTTATACCAAACAGATAAAGGGGATTTTGAGGATTTCAAACTGTCATCCATAAACCCTTGAAAACTGCACTGAACTTTATTTAGTGGCTGCTTAGGTGTCTTTTTAAACTCTGCTGTTGTATCTGGTTTTCACATTTGGCGAAAACAGAAACAGAGTTCACTTTGAAGTGAAATGTGCATTTTGGAATTATTTTTGTAAAATTAGGTAGCCAGCTATAAAGATGTCCCTATAATGATGTAAGTGCTATAATGATGTAAGTGCGTGCTACATGGTCAGGTGTGGCTTCAAGCATGTCTTGGAAAGACTTGTGGCAAATATCTCTCTTTGCTACTCATTCACTTAATTGTTTTAGTAGCTTCATAAATAAGCTTGCTTATACTATTATATGCACCTACCTTTTTATTTGTGGCTGCTAGTGCCAATCACATTTCTACTATAGCATGTTTTTTGGCATTTTTGAGAGCATGGCATTAAAATTATTTAAGTATATATAGATATATATAAAGAATATAGATACATGTAAAGATATATTCAGTTATGGATAATTTGCACTCGGCTCTTTCGGGATGAACTAATGAATTATTGTTCTATTGATGATAATTTGCACCACTTTTAAGGAGTAAAAACCATTTCGGATGTTACAATAAATTTTTTTAAGATCTATTTTTGACTGATTAGAAAAAACAGTACTGTCTGTGAGAGACAAGTGCCTTTATGACACTGCTGACTTGCACCGTCATATGTAGATACAGGAACTGTTTACTGGCAGCTTGATACATTTCTAATCTTTGCAAGCTGGATTTTTCAGGTATATATCTAATTCTACTGTAGTATATGTCAAGTTAACGTAGTACAATAGGTGACAGTTGCCCTATAGAGTCCTGAGAATGGGTATCAAATTTGGGAAATATGTATTCTGCTTAAAAGCTAAAGCATTGGTGTGGAGCTGGGGGACTTTTGGGCAGGTCTTCTGTGCCTATTGCTACAAGAGTAATATGTTTGTTCACAATATACTATGAGATGTTGATTGAAGGCTGCATACCTTAAGAGTGTGAATAGATTTTGTTTGTGATTTCACAGGTGATTGCTTTGCAAATCTACTTGCCAAAACCGACCTAATTGAGTACATTGCCTAAGGCACAATTTAGCAATGACAGAATGTTTGTCGGAGGATTCTTCCTGCTCCTTCAGAGACACAAGCCCATTGAATTTAACACTTCTTCACAAAAAACCCAAAAAACCCCTAATTAAAATTCCAATCTCTATTTGAATATTATGTGGCTAACACAGAATATTAATGATGTTATACACCTGAATTATTTTACTCATTTCAAGCTCTCTACATGTTTGAATTGCAACTTGTGATTTGCACTTACATTTTTAGGAAAGATAAGGATTTGATATTGTAATGATACTAATAATTTTTCTTTAGTATTACTGTCGAGTCTGCAGTGGTTATTTGTAGTTTGTTTAAACAATTTAGTGTCTGTGTTCTCTGGCAGATACATGTAGTTTTATAAGTGTTTGAGCCTCTTATGTAAAAATGAGTAAGTATAGTTATCAGATCTGTTCTATTTTAAATGTGTCTTTTAGTTTTCCTGAATGAATCGTTATGCCTGCATCTCTAAGAATGCAAATGTGTAAGGTTAGTGTGACTAAGTAGAGTCCAGTGGCAAGATAATGTGTGGATGAAGCTTTTTTCCTTTGTTCTGTTCTCTGATAAATTGACTATTTAGATTTTATGGCAAAATCCTCATCTGGAATGGGATTAATTCAGAGTTTTTGCATGAATGAAAGTAACAAAATATATGTGCTTAATTAAAAAAACCCAAACAAAAAAAACCACAAAAAAACAACAAAAAAGCCCAAAAAACCCACACACCAAACCAAAAAAGAAATGCACAGGTTTCTCAAAAATTTGCTTTTATGCTGAAGAATGTAATTTCTTTGTTTTTTATATCCAAAGATTGAGAGACACACAACTTTTCTTTCCAATACAGCAGGCTAAAATAATCAACAAAATGTAAATGGACCAAATGGCAAAAGCCTGCGTTTTAGTACTATACTAAAATAGAATAACTTTTCTGTGTGCTGTGTTATGTATCTTAGAG